GTACAAAAAGTTTTTTTTTAGAAAAATAAACAAGAAAAAAAATATGTAATTAAACTGTCATGAAAAATATGAATGAAAATATTATAACTAAATGTGAAAAAATATATAAATATTTTATGACAAGTTGGGACGAGAGATTTTAAGAGAGGGCAAAAGTAATTTTTTTGGAGGGGCAAAAAAAATTTCTCTCCTATAAAAAAAATTATTTACTCTTCTATAAAAAAAATAAAAAAATTTTTGAGGGGGGCAATTGCCCCCCAGTCCTGAGATTTCAGTTTGTCATCTCATAGCTCAATCTTTTTGTCGTTGTTGATTCCCTAACGTTTGGAGCTTGCGACTGATGAGATTGCTGGAGAACCGTGAGTTTGTTTGTCCCAGTCGGTCAAGATTCTCATCTAGACTTCCTCCAAGCTTGTAGTCTACAAAAAATTCGTAGAGCATCTCTCAACAAAGAAATTGAACCCTCAAACACCATCTGAGATTGCTCGTGTGGAGGTATTTCTTAAGCCTTAGGCATTTATCTTTGTCTAAAATTTATAATCATTCAATCCATCATATATCAAGTTTAGAAGCTTTTGTGAATATGGGGTTTCAGCTATTCAAGCGAAGAAGATGATTCCAAAACCGTCTGATTTGCATGAAATCTTATGGAAGGCCTTGATTTTGCTGCACAGTGCAAATGATCCGACTCAATGGGCAATGGAATACGCCGAATGTGATCAATCGAGATCCTGACTATTGATTCCCAACCACGTGGGATCAACGGTAGAGATCTATGGATGACTTTTTTAAGTGAAATGGTGGGGCTGATGAATGGCTGCCACATCAATGATCGCCAGTGATCAATGATTGGAAACTGTGTGCGCCACCGCAAATGATTGGTTGTCATTTGGTATTTGAATTAATTATATTAATTAAATCCAAAAAAAACCCAGGACTTCAAAAATCTTTACAAAATTTATTCCTTAACAATTTTTAGAGTTCTTGACTCAATGGATTAAGAATAAATAGTTATACTTTATAAAAATAATTTCGGCCCAATTTGATAAATATTTTTGGACTTATTTGAGATATAAGCATATATTATTTTTCTTTATATGCATATATGAATTTGCCACCAATTTTTTTTTGTGGGATGATTAGTCTTCTCTACACCAGGACCAATTCTCCTTCTTGAAATGATCGAAGACACATCATTCGATCAAAGGACTTTGTCATTCTCGCTTGGTAGATTTCTAAGTTTTGTTGAGCTTGCAATCTGACTTCATCGAGCTCCTCCATCCTTAACCGAGTATTTTGTTCTTGAGTTAGCTCATTATGGATACCGACCCGAAGAGATGGTAATTCAACTTCTAGTGGCAACACTGCTTTAACTCCGAACACGGAAGGTAAAAGTAATAGAAAAGAAATTTTTTTTTTTACTTGGATTCATAGTGGCTCTTTCATACATGTATTGGAGATGTGTTTAGTTTTGCTAAATTCTTTATGGAAAATTCTATGTAATGTTTTGTTGATTGGTCTCTTTTCCATCCGATCTCCGTTTTCGCCTCGCACTTGCGAGCTAATCGGGCCGGGTCGTGACAGAGTTGCCTTGGTTGGTGTTTTATAAGTTATACGTTACATCCATAACGCTTCTGTCATCTTCGTATGCCACTCTCTTTTATTTTTTGTGGGAATCTTATTTAACAATTTCACCAGTATTTTGTTGAAGGCTTCTATCAGGCCATTGACTTTTGGATAGTATATGGAAGAATATCGCCAGTCGATCTTGTGTTGATCGATAAATATATTAATCTTAGTACTTTTGAAAGATGTACTGTAGTCTGAGATTATGTGGTATGGCATGCCAAATCTATAGACGACATTTTGCGTGAAGAAGTTGATCACATGCTCGGACGTAATTTCTTTAAATGGAGCCGCTTCTGCCCACTTGGAGAAATAGTTGGTTGATGCCAGGATGAAGCGGTGTCCTGCTTATAACGGTGGATCTATTGGCTCGATAACATTAGTACCCCAGCATTCAAATGGCAAGGATGCTATTGTAGGGTGCAGTGGATTTGGCGGTTGGTGTATAACATCAACGTGGATTTGTCATTCGTGACACCTCTTAGCATAATCAATGCAATCCTTTACCATTCTTAGCTAATAGTAATCCATTCTTTTAGTTTTGACTGCCATTTTGGGACCTGATCGATACAATCAAATGGCATGACCGTATAGCAGAATATGCCTATAGGTGTTCTGAACGATGTATTCTTTTCATCTTTAGGCGCCATTTTGATTTGGTTATAGACCGACGATCCATCCATAAATGAGAACATATCATAGTTGGATATGTTGTCAACTAGAAGTTCTGATATTGGGAGCGAAAAATCATCTTTTAGACATGCCTTGTTGAGGTCCCTGAAGTCGATGCAGATATGAATATGACCATTCTTCTTGTTTATAGGAACAATATTGGCAATACAATCAACATAATTTTCTTCACGAATAAAGTAAGCATCTATAAGCTTCTTCGTTTCTACAATCACCTGTTCTTCAATCTCCAATCTCATTCTCCTTAGATCTTGTTTGACGGGTGTTGCGTCAGATTTGATGGCTAGTCTGTGAACTGCTACGTCAGGGGATAAGCTAGGCATCTCAGCATATGTCCAGGCAAAGTAGTCTCTGAATTCATAGAGAAGTCCCTTTATTTCTTCCACTTGATCTTCTGGTAGAAGGGAGCTAATGAAGGTTGGGTGAGGATCTTCTTTAGTTCATTCATTGTAGCAGCCTGCCCACCATCTTCCAGTTCTTCTAGTGCAGGTTTGGCTTCTACGGGTTGATTTTTATAAGCATTAGCTTCATATGTCTCATCTTCATTATTATCAGATTTGAATTCTTCACAAGTGATTGCTCGACAAGTCTCCTTCTAGAGATATTTGCGCTTGATGAATATGATACCTTTGTATGCAACTATATCTTTATGTCATAATAGACGCGGATTTATTCCATACTAGATGCCTGGGAATGTACTAGGTTGTCATTTAGTAGTATGAATATTGATTTACTTTCGTAGCATTCTTTGAATACTTTTGAAATAACTCTTCAGAATCGAATTGCATATAACACCAGTCATTATTCTCCTCTTCGCCCATTCCCGCTGAATATAGTAGTTTTCGGGTGCAATCCCCTTCTTAAGAGGAGGCAGATAATGGGTGTTAAGTTCTTCAATCTTATGCACTTCACATGAAATGATTTCCTTGAAGTGTTGTAGGGGAACACGCGTAACTATGAGCATACTATTAGAGATCGACAGACTATCTAATCTTCTAGAGAACACACCCTACACCATGTTCATGTAGACAGAGTCGTAGTCATAATCATCATTTGAATATACAACCTCCCTACTCCATTTGGCTGTTGACTGCGTATCCTCTGGGATTTTGTAGGTGTGACATCACTTTCATTTGTGTCACTCCCAAGATGAGGTACGTGTTTTCTTTTTTTAGGAATGTTTGATGTTTTGGAAAGAGTTTGCATTACCTTCTTTCTTCCCACACGCTTCTTCTCACCTTCCTGTTTGGGTTTATTTACAGCCTTTGAGTTTGATGCTTTAGTTTCAAGAGAACTCGAAGGTTTCTGCTTCTTTGGTATGAAATACTGTGCATCTTCATAAACTGTTGCTTCATGTAATGCAAAGGGTTGGTATCACCAAAGATCCTGAATTCTTCTCATTCCTTGAGATATTTCATACACTAGTGTTATTGATGGGACAATGTCATATTCATGCAGCCAGGGGCGACCTAGTAGCGCCTTGAATGAAGTGTCCGCATTAATAACATGAATCTTGGCTTCTATGTGAAGTTCCCCAAATACAAGAGGGAGCATAAATGATCCAAGGATTTTATGCCCTTTCTCGTTGAAGCCATGTACCATTAATTTATCTTTCCCAAGATGTTTCACATCGAGGCACAATGATCTCAATACTTTCAAGCTCATAAGATTTACGGAAGATTTGGGATCGATCAAAATCCGACTAATCATAATACTATCGCTCTATGCCGTAACATATAGAGGGTGGTTGTGATCTGCCGTTCTAAGCATCAAATCATCCTCAGCAAAGGTAATGATTGGCTCATTCCAAGCTTGTAAGACCTCAGTCAAGTTGCGTTCAGCAAAATACACCTTCTTTGAGTGGTATTTTTTTTTTTTTTTGAAATTATATAAAAGACTTGGAGCCAGAAGAAAACAAGCAAATTCATTTGAACCTAAATTCATAGATGTAGAAATCAAAGTATGTTGTAGTGGGGCTTGGCCACCTTATTATATTTACAGCGACCCTGGGTTGTATTTATTTTTTTGATAAATGAATAAAATATTTTATTTATGCATTTATTTCATACATCATACATGACAATAAATGAATGCATTTGCATATTTTACATATCCCCGGTTTGAACTTCTAAATTAAAATCCTTGATTCCCTAGGATAGAAGCCTCATATCTTATATGCATAAGGTGATTGATTGTGTTAAGGATTTTAGCTGACAACTCACTCCAAGCAAGCATAAACCCAGATTGTATATCCCTTAATGTATCTTCTCTAAATCCTAAACAAATTCTAGATCTATAGTTTCTTCTTTAATGTTAAATCAATCTTTGATCTTCTAAACTCAAACTTCATGTAAAACCTGCAAAAATGCCGTTTTAGACCTCGCACGATTTTCAATGCGTCGCGACGAATTTTAAGTAAATTTTTTAAAGTCGTCGAAATTCGACGCAATAAATTTTATAAAATAGTGCGCAAAATTCTAAGTGAAACGATATATAGAACCCATATCGAATTTTAAGTATTTTGGTAGTTAAAATTTTCAGAAAACTCTTAATGACAACTTTGCCCTTGATGTCTTTTGAATAAATATGGGTTTAAGTAAGGGCTTTTAGGTAATTAGGCAATTAATATGAAGGCATTCCATTTTAAACAGGGGACCGAAATGTTTCGGTCCCCCATTCGTTTCTTGTGGCCCAAATGAGCGGAGAGGAGAAGGCTTGGGTAGGAACGGCGACATGAGAGCTTGGGAGCGATTTTCGGCGGTCGTTCGTGGAGTAGCTTGTAGGGAAAACTAAAGAAATGCTAAGGTAAGTGATTTGCAAGAGTTTTCTCTCCTTTTCCTTGAGTTTTCTGTAAGGAATGAATGTTAGGGTTTTGAGAAAACTTGAGTTTTCTTTGAGATAAGTTTAGTGAAAGGTGAGGGGATATTTTTAAACCTAAGAATGAATTGTTTTCATGAAAAATGTGAATTTTGAAAATTAGGGTTTCACTCAAAGTTGTTTTTCTTTGGAAATGTCTTCACAAGAGTTGTTCCTAATGACATAAGAGACCCTCTAATTGAAAAATAATGCAAGATTGATGAAAATCTTAAGTTTTGGAATTTAGGATTTTTTCCTAATCATAGAATTTTTTTAGCCTTGTGGTTCCAAATGGTTTTGGGAAGGATTTTAGAGACAAATTTAGGACTTTCACATGAAATGCAAGTTTTTCTAAATTTTGGTTTAATTCAATCCGAAAATTATTTTTATTTTAACTATATTTTAAGTGGAGGAAGAGATGTTGCATGCATAAAATCGAAGATTTTGACTAAATTCTAATTGAGAGAGAAAGAGAATGAGAGATTTCATGAAATAGTGGGAGGTTTAATTTGAAAACAAAGACATGACATAAGATTGAGCTCTTTATTATCATATATTAAGAGTTTAGGAAGTTATGTGGGGACTAGTTATACTTACCCATTGTGTATGTCTCTTTTAGATATTGAACGTGTGGAGGGAAGGCTTTGATTGGACAACCAGAAGTGGTGCACAAGTTGAGGTAGGTGAAATGGACTTCCTTTAAATTTAAAAAATCTTTTTACATTCAAATACATAGAAATGACATTTTCCTTTTTATGCTCTTTATGATATTATTATGACTAGCATGTTTCCTTATTTAAGCTTATGATCACTTGATGCAAGAGTAAATTCTTTTTTATGCAATTTTTAGAACTCATTGAATGAATCTCACACTTCTTTCTTTACATGTACTACACATGTTTTATCTTTATATACAAATAAACATATGAGTATACCAAACATGTATATTTGGAGACATGTTAATAGAGTAATGTGAAATTTTTTTATTAATTCCTACTGTCCGACTTTCGTTCTCGCCTCGCACTTGCGAGTTAACCGGGCCGGGTCGTGACACTTCTAATCAAATATTCATAAATTTGAAAGATTTAATCCTCACTAAAAAGGAAGAGAAGAGTATATCACCATTAGATAAGAAGAATTTAAGAACGTACCCATCTATGCACCAAACGAAGAAGAGAATAAAATAGCATCCATAATCGAGAGTATTCTTAAGCCAATGCTTAAAATGTAATTAATTATGACGGCTTACACATGTAAAAAATCAATACCCACATGAAATAAATCTCATTTTAGATACTGTATTGAATAAAGAAAATCTCGTGATTATCGCATCATATATTTTTTTTTGAATCATATATATTATTATCCATCGAGATTTATAGATGAAAACCACTATTATTTATGGAGAACGATATGTATGATCGCATTTGCTCTTCCATTGATCTGCTTGCTTAAAAAATAAAGGTTTATGATCGTTTTTGTCCTATGAAATAATATGACCATATCATTTGCATTCTAACCCCCACGAGCAACATCCTTTCGATGACCCACAGCATTAGTAGGTGCTTGGTTGACAGGGATTGTAAAAAAATTGAATGAAAGGAATAAAGTGGGAAGTGGTTGCACTGCATGATTCCAACAATTAAATACATGATTGGATAGTATGTAAACAAGTCTAATACTAATGTTGCATGATTACTTTCGGTGTAAAATGTGCAAAAATATCTTACTCCACAATTTTAATGCTAATACTCAATTTGATTTGAACACGATTTGAATATAGTTCAAATGAAGTTTGACCCTCTATTTTGAAGCTAATTTTCAAATATGAATATTGTAAAGCATGTAAAGTCAAATTTACCAACTAAAATTGTAAAGCAAAACCAAGCTTAACCTAAAAATAAAATTAGAAGGTTAACGTTTGCAATAGGATCATGAAGACTGGGTAGAAATGGCACAGTTCCAAGGGAAGATAAGGATAGATGGGGAAGGAAGAAAAATGCATTAATCCGAGAAAGTAATTAAAAATTTAAATAAAAAAAAGCTAAGAAAGGCATAAACCTAAAAGTAAATCACGAAGCCTTCTTATGGATCGTAACAGTAAATATTTCCACTGAGAATTAGTCATATGTTCGAAATACATTTAACCAGCATGAAAACTTGTCCCTACCCGAATATGGATATGGAGTATTTCAGTGTTCTCACTCCTTTCAGTCGGCCTGTGCTCAAACACTACACAACAGCCCACTTATTTGTAACAGATTATACCTCTCGAAATTAAGAAGAATAAGGAATAACTGCCACTGCGTCTATTTATTAGCAATCTCAACACATCGCGATTATTTTTCAATATAAAACTCGCATCAGTGTGTCGCATGAACGCTAATGTGAGTAAAAAAATTGAGACTTTAATTAGCACTTCTTTTAAGAAGACATTTCCCAAACTATGATGACAGCTTCGTCACCAGGAGTATCAAAGCAAAGCAGAATAGATCTCAAAGTTATACAAATAGATCCTCAGCAAAACAGTTCAAAATCATTCCAAATAATACACTATTCATTAATTCAAACAAAATTGCCTTGAACTTCACCAAAACTTGCCTTAAATTTTCCTATAGATATAACTTATGTGTCTGTACAATAGAAATATTGGAACTCTTAAGAAGGACAAAACTTTTAACAAAAATCAAAGTCTGAATAGGAAATAAATAAAAGTGATGACGCAAAACCAAACCAAAACCAATACCTCAGGCAAAGAAAGTGTTTGGAGGAGATTGCGGTAATCCAGTCTCCAGTAAGATGCTGCGGCTGCAATAGGATCTTGACGTACTTGAAGAAGACATTAGACACCTAGCATCGCCACTCTGAGCTATGAGTTCATTTCTTTGAGTTCTTGTTTTGCCAGCCATTCTTTCAATTCCTCCTGCATGTTCCATGGCTCCAGAATAGCCATCTTGAACAGGGTCCAGGCACTCCATGAGCATTCTCAGCACCTGCTTGATTGATGGCCTTGCCCGCCCTTCTCGACGGGTGCACCATTGGATGATTTCAATCACTACTTGAAGCTGCTCAAAATCGAATGCAATGGCAATGGCTGGGTCCACTAGTTCATGCAGTCTGGCATCTGAGGACAGAAACTTCTGAGACCAATCAATGATGTTTTTGCCATCTTGTATTGCTCTCCTCCCTGTCACAAGCTCCAGTAACAGCACACCGTAGCTGTAGATGTCACTCTTCTCAGTTAGCTCTTGAGTGATCACATACTCTGGATCCATGTAACCTGCAACCAAATTGTAACTTTAAACTTGTACAAATATCACACTGCAGAAAAATCACAGAGATAAAAAACTGCATTTGCAGATAAAAAGGTGACGGATTTATTTGACATAGTAACACTAACCTAAGTTGGTTTAGCCAAAAAAAATAATCAATTTCAAATATTCAAATATGAAATTGCAGTTTGGTTAGCAATTCTTAACTAAGAGGAAAGCGATGAAGAAGCATTAATATGGCTATGAATGTTGCTTAAGACAATAAGAGGTGATCTGATGTGATGCAATGGTGGAGTTACACAAGAGTTAAAAGAAAATTAAATTCTAGGTCGACGAATTATATAATCATGCATCAAAGTTAAGTTGATTACAAGTAATTCGCAATGTTCAACTTGCTAGGCAAAGAAACTACAACAAGAGGGCTAAACCATTTAAGCAAACGCAAAAGAAAACATAAAGCAAAGGCTAGTAAATAAAATCCCATAATTAATACAAAGTTGTTCACACCTTAAGACCTTTAACTCTCTCTTTCCTACGGGGACTAAGTTGAGCGACGGAAGATTGTCCAAACTAGCATCGAGGTTGCCACTAGGATGGAGGTACCAAGGAACGTCGCCGTGGGAAAGGATCTCGGAGGCGGAGGGGGCACGGTAGATCGACCTTTGATAATCCACATGTAGACGGAGAAGTGTTCGTCAATGGAATCTACTAGCGTCGGCAAGATCCGGTCCAAGTATTCTTCGACGGTATCGTCGAAGTCAAATCCGACGTCGAAGAACTGTGATCGGAGGATGTTGACCCTTCCGTTGTTGTCGTATTCAAATCCGAAGTTCCACTCGGGTTCGTCCATGCATCCTTGAAGTGGAGCCGGATGGTCGCCGCAAGAAAGATCTCCCAAGAAGGGTGGGTGGGGCGGCGGCTTGGACAAGGGAGAGGGGAGCCGGCAGTGGAACAAGGAGAGGGGCGGGCTGGTTGAGAGCAAACTGAGATTTACTTTCAGTTTTTGTGAAATTAGGAGGGAAGGATTAGGGATTTGAAATTCCAATTAATGTAATCAATGCATTAATTGAAAATTTCAATTAAGGAGAGATTATGGGAAATAAAACTGAAATTATTTCAGTTTTAAGAGGAGTGGAGGGAAAGTTTAAATCCTAATTTGAATTTCAAATAGGATTTGGGGGGTTTAATTAAGTCATTAATGGGATTTCCCATAGGGGGGCCGGCGACATCTATGAGGGGGAGAGAGGTGGTAGAGAGGGGAAATTATTCCAAATTAGGATGATGACTAGGAAAATAATATCCTCATGAACCCAATTTCGTTTTATGTGAAATAAGATTCAAAATTCAAAAACTTTCCAAAATTGGAAATTCCTAATTTGGAAATAATTTGAACTTGGAATTCAAATTTGAATATGATCCCAAGAAGATTGGTGGTGGGAGGATGGTGGAAGGGGGGAATAAGAAAGGAGATGCAAAGCCGGCGGTGGAGGTGGTCGGCCGGGTTGATGGAGCCGGCGGATGGGGCTCAAGGCAGCGGCAAGGAGGCAAAGGGGCCCGACTTCTCACCAATTGATGGTGTGGATGGCGTGCTCGTGGATGAGGAGTAGAACAAGAAAGCTAATACAAGGAGAACTCACAAAGAGATCTCTTGATAAGAACTCACTAAGAGATCTTTGAACTCACAAAGAGATCACACAATAGAAATTTCATTTATCAAATCACTAATCTCATACAAGATACAAGGGGCCATATAAATAGGCTCCAAATAAAAGTAAATGCAAAAGTCTAAAATGCCCCTTGGGGCTACAAGAGCAACTAATACCCTCAGGGGTAAAATGGGAACTACGAAAAATAAAAGCATAACATATAAACTGCTGGTACAAGTAAAATCAATAATAGAGACTCTCAATCATGGCCGTCGATCTCCGTGGTCGTCTCTGGTACGCGCCGAAATATCCTATCGATGACCTCATCATGATCTCTTATTACAGTTTATTGGGCTGCATGAAGAAATCTACTTTAAATTTTTATAGATGGCGGTCACAGGATTTTCACATTGACGTGCAGTGTCAGTAAAAATTCTAGCCATCTTGGCCGATACGTTGGTGATGGATTATTTTGTATTTAAGAATCTCTTTTGGGCTGTTTTTTAATTGAGCATCAGTGTACTTAGAATTTGGAAAGAAATAGTTAGCCTTCTTCTATTATTGCGCACGCCACATTTGTGCCATCCATGTTGATGGTAAATTGGATTGTTGTAAATAATTTATTCCAAGACTTAAACTTGTTGTACTGGTGTTTTATGTGTTAACAAACCATAGGAATTCAATTCATAGTGTGTAGGATTAGTGGTGGAAATGCTACCATAATACCATTGGCCAAGAAAGTTGAATCCATATTTGGCCTTGAACATGAAGATGACCTTAGGAATTTTAGGGTTTGCAAAGGATGACACTTCTAACCTTAAAATAGTTTGGAGATAAATCGAAAATGGGATATAGAATTTTAGGAATTTAAGGTGATGAAGAAGCAAATGCAAGAATCGGTCATAGAAATCCTAATCTGACCACCACAGAAAATGTCCATGTAGATGAAGACATGAGTGAGGTCGACAGGACGATGGATGGTGATTGGTTGTTTGGCAAGGATTGGTTTATTGAAGGAAGATTAGATAGGAGATCACATGACAAAAAATCATCCTAACTAAGCTGAATTAGACCTAGAAATAAATGATGTGACGCAGAAATTGATATAACTCCTTTAATGATGGTCCAAGATATAAGCAAGTCTTTTTAAAGTTAATAGCACAAAGATAATCGGCCTTTTACTAGATCAGGTTTGTGATGTTCATAATCAAGTTGGTTGGCTGTATTTAAGTTAGATTGGTATGTTAATTTTTTACCTTCATTTATTTAGCTCATAATTTGATTAATTTTGCATTCACAGATCAACAAAGATCCCATGTGGATTTCTTCGATGTGGAGGAGAAAAATCTCTTGTTGTCTATCGATTAAAAATGATGGGTGCCTATATATAAGCATAAAAGATGAATACGAAAGAGAATAATAAGGAGAATATCCTCAATTATGAGGATATAAATCAATAATAAAATATATCATCAATAGACCTAACATATAAATATCTGAGAAAGCTTTACATTAAAATGGCTATTATTAATGTTTATTAATCATTTCCCTGTTGACTTCATAATAAATCTGAAGATACATAGAATAATATCTCAATATTCATATTTAGGAGTTTGTACGTGTTTACTCACAACCCCCACAACAAATGAAACAACTAGCCTGATAACAAAAAGACTGATTTTTCAACCAAAGGTCAATAACAAGAGACATCTTGGAACATTCCCTATGTTCGTAGCCATCTGTTTATCGATAAGTTTGCAACCTAAAAAACCCGTTCTTCGGGAAGGTGAGCGGTATACTTTCTTTTAGATAAACACTTTTCTTGTTGTAGGAAAATTATATTACCAAAAAATATATGGGATGACCTAAACATTTAGCAAAAAAATACATTTGTAGGTAGTGATTTACTTTAGTAACATCTTTTTTATCACTCCTAATAACATGTCATTAACATAAATTGCTAAGATAACACAATAAGATGACTTAAGTATGATAAAGATGAAGTTATATGTTGTTCTACCGTGAATATCAACCCCAGCAAAAATTTCACAAAATTTATTAAACTGAGATTATAGGATTTGCTTAAGCCCATATATGGCTGTGCTGGGCTTGCATAGATTCATCAAACCATAATTTTATTTACGCTTCAAAGCGTTGTTGATACAAAGTCTGCCTTCTAACTAAGAGAAGGTCTCCTTTTATAGGCATACATATTTTCAGACTTCAAAAGAAACTCATAAGTCCTAATAATTATTATTTGAGAGAAGCTGTGCAATTTTCTCGTGAGAGAAGCTGTGCGATTTTCTAGTGAGAGAAAGTTCAAGTTTTCAAATTGTTTGATCCCGCATTTTGGGGCGGCATTCCCGTTCATGGTGGTGGCTTCATCGGCGGTAACTTCTGACCTCCGGAAGTCATCCTCTTCGATTCCACCTGATAATCGCATCGATCAATTGAGATCTTCGCAAATTCAACTCCAGAAATCCAGATCGCTTGATCCTTTAGTGATTAAAGAGCCCGTTGACAATTTTGTGAAGAAATCTGCTCCGGTTGCTAGTATAGGTGTTGACCCGTATCCAGCAAACAAAAAAAAATGAGAAGAAAAGAAATTTCAAATCTCACTTGCTCCCTGCCATCGCACGTCGCTCGCACGTCGTCGCCTCTTCGCACGATGATACCATGTCTCACATCGTTTCTCCCCACGTCGCATGATCTCCTCACGATCTCAACCGGACGTCGTTAAAGAGACGAGGAGAGGCCTTCGGCCTCGCACGCTCTAGCACTTTCCCCTCCTCCGAACTCTCTCCCCCTTACTACCTCGGCTCCGTCGATACTACCCGAAATCCTCCTACCGATCATCTCACCCGACCGAACCCAGCGATTGAGCTCCCCTCTCCTCTGCCTCATGGTTTCCTCTTCCCGTCGCCCTTCCTATTTGCAGCCTTCGGGTTCCTCTGGCCGAGAGAGAGAGAGAGAGAGAGAGAGAGAGAGAGGAGTCTTCCTCAATCCCGTAAACCACATCTACCCGAACCCCATCTCCACCCCATATTCCGATCTCCCTACCTGTAGCCGCCTCCTCTGCCCGAGCCGAGCCACGTATAGTGGGAAGGGATTAGGTTAGTTTGTGCTATTAATACTATTATGGGTTATTATTGTTATTATTGAGTATAATAATAATAATAATAATAATAATAATAATAATAATAATAATAGTAATAATAATCATAATAACGATAGTTACCATTATTAGTATTATTATTATTGTTAATATTATTATCATAATGAAAGTGGGTTACCTCGACATCCGTGCCATCCCCCGCCGGTCCACTGATCCACCGGTCCCGAAGGTATAAAAAATCTAAACT